CCTGGGCACTGGGGCTGGGGCTGAGTGTGATGGTGCAGCCAGGGGCCACCTGGGGGGCTGAAGCCTCCACCTTAAGCCCCTAGTGACGGTGCTGGAAACAGACTTTGGGAATAAAGAGTTCCAGGGCAGAGGGACACAGACAGGGCCTTCAGTCTTGGCCATCTCTGGATGGAGTCTTCGGGCCTTTCTGGATTCTGGGTGGGTTCTGAGCTGAGGGCCTGTGGACCCACTTCTCATATTATCTGGGGTTCAAGGTGGGAGCAGAGTTGGACAGAAGCTGGCTGTTCAGAGGCACTGTGCTGCCCTAGAGATGGCTCAGCCTGGGCCCACAGAGCCGGAGCCAGAGCCAGAGCCAGAGCACAGTGCAGTGCCAGAGGTGCCACAAGGTGGCAGCAGGGAACCACCACCACCCACCAGCGGCCGAGCAGGTCCTTCCGGAGGTCAGGAGGGAGACCGCACCTCCGCTGCTGCTGCCCAGGTCATCCTAAGCATCAAGTCGAACCCTCTTGCTTACAAACGCAAGCAGATTATCTTCTTCAATCATAGACATGTGACAAGGACTCCTAGAGTGGGCCTGTGTCACTGGAGGACCGTGTCCTGCCCCGTCTGTGTGTAGCCCTGAAGTTATTGATGTGTCACTGCTGCTCCCATGACCACTGCCAGCAAAGGGTGGGGCTCTCTCTGGAGTTCAATCCGGGAACCCAGAATCCACCCTGTGCCGCTGGGACCCCGAGACTTGAACATCTAAGGGAGGGAGGGGCAGGTCAGGTCCAGGCCCCCAGACCCCTGACAGCAGGAGAGGGGCCAGGGCCCAGCCCTGAGTTCATGACTCTCACCCTGATGCTTTGTTCCCACAGGAATGAAGAGAAACATGAAAAATATAGCCCCAGCCGGGGCGGGGAGCCCCCCGCCTCCAGGTGCTTCCGCTGCTGCGACCCTGGGACCCCTGTGTACCAGGCAATCCCCGCGCCCCAGATCAACATCACCATCCTGAAAGGTCAGGGCTGCAGAGACAGGGCATCTCCTGGAGGCTGCCGCGGGCAGAGAGGGAGGAAGACTGTGGGGTCATTAGTCGGGGCTGGGCGGGAGCAGAACGGTCCCTGGGACAGAAGCGGAGGAGGGTTGTCATCAGCAGGGACAGGAAGACATCCTAGTTTTGAGGGTCTGGCTTGTTTCCAAGAGGAGCTGGCAGGACCAAGACCAGGAGAGGGAGCCTCAGGCTGCTGGGCCCCGGCACCTGCGCGGACCGCAGGCTTCCAGACTCTGTTTTGAGGCTTGGTGTCCCCAGCCTGCTTCTGAAATTCTGTCCACCCTCCTCCCCCATGACCTCGCTCAGCGGCTGGGAACACTTGCAACTGGGTTCTGAGCTGAGCCCTGACATCTGCAGTCCATTTGCTCAGAGCGAGCCTGGGCCTGGCCCCGGAGCCTGTTGCTTGTGGACAAACCCATATGTTCCTTTATCCGTGCCAGGGCTTTCCAGAAGGAAAAAAATATTGCTTCTGGATTAAAATAGAGCAACCCTTGAAAAGGTGGCTGTTGGTCTAACTGATCTGAGAATCGAAGCCCCCCAGAGGGAGGACCGGGCCTCACCCCGTGGGGCAGGGGCGAAGCCCTCGGGTCAGGGTGTGAGGTCCAAGCAGGATGGAGCCCCAAGCTGAGGTGCAGGCCCACCATGGAGTGGCTTCCTTGATACCCCGTGTCTTCCTGTCCCTTTCAGGTGAGAAGGGTGACCGAGGGGATCGTGGCCTACAGGGGAAATATGGCAAAACAGGCTCCGTGGGCGCCAGGGGCCACATGGGACCCAAAGGGCAGAAGGGCTCTGTGGGCGCGCCCGGGGACCGGTGCAAGAACCACTACGCGGCCTTCTCGGTGGGCCGGAAGAAGCCCCTGCACAGCAGCGACTACTACCAGACGGTGGTCTTCGACACGGAGTTTGTGAACCTCTACGGCCACTTCAACATGTTCACGGGCAGGTTCTACTGCTACGTGCCCGGCATCTACTTCTTCAGCCTCAACGTGCACACCTGGAACCAGAAGGAGACCTACCTGCACATCATGCGGAACGCGGAGGAGGTGGTGATCCTGTACGCCCAGGTGAGCGACCGCAGCATCATGCAGAGCCAGAGCCTGATGCTGGAGCTGCAGGAGCAGGACGAGGTGTGGGTGCGCCTCTTCAAGGGCGAGCGCGAGAACGCCATCTTCAGCGACGAGTTCGACACCTACATCACCTTCAGCGGCTACCTGGTCAAGCACGCCTCCGAGCCCTAGTGGCCACCCCGGGGAGACCGCCAGCCTCCTTCCCTCCCGCCCTGCTCCGCGCCCTGCAGGCCCCGAGTCTGACCCCATGGCCTCTCGCCCCAGTCCCTGCTTCCTTGGCTTCTGCTCCCCGGCTTTAGCCCTCAACAAGGCGCCCTTGACGGGTGGGAAGCCAGCACCACGTGGCCGCCTCTGTCGGAGGAGGTCTGCCGCGGATGAGATCACAGGGTGGGGCGCCTGCTGGAACTGGGAGCCTCCAGTTCCCCTCTGCACTCAGCCTGAAGTGACCCGAGGTGCACTGTCCAAGACCACAGCACCCTGCTCCCGTTCCGAGAAGTGACTGAGCAAATGCTTGAGTCGCCAGAGGCCCTGGAGGGGAGGGCCAGCCCTGCCATGGCAGCCTTTCCAGCAGGCTGGCTCCCCCTGAGACCCAGGGAGCAGAGCTAACAGGGGAGCAAGGGTGGAGAGCAGGGACACGGCCGGGGGTCGGGAGGCCACACCTGGCTTCATTCCACTAGGTCACCAATGAACCTTCCTGGGGGACAGCGGGACTGACCTCCGTGTTTGGCTAACATTGCTGTAGCCTTGCCTGAGGGCTCAGCGGGACCTCCTGAGCCACAGCGGCGAAGCCAGGGCAGCGCAGTCAGCTCCCCAGAGGGGCAGCCGCGCCCTCTTCTGTTGGCTCTGGGCTGGTAGAAGCTGACGGCTTGCTGCAGGCCATGGGCTCCTGACAGTGGCTGGGGACCTCAGGGACCCCTAGATCTGCAGATGGGGCTGGGAAGCCCAGATATATCCAGGCACCACTCCTGTCCCCCAGGCCACTCTGCGCCCTGCTGGGATCTCCATGCCCCTGCACTGACACTGCTTCCTGTCCCTGCTCCTAGATGGGTCAGCTGTGGGAAGTACCAGGCCTGTGGTTTGTTCCTATCAAACCATCTTGTATCACCTCAGAGTCCTGTCTCCTCTCGGGTCCAGGATCCTCTCCAGCATCCACTACGAGGCCAGGCTGATGGTCCATCTAGACCTGTGCATACCCAGGCCTCTTTGACCTGCAGCCTAAGGCAACGTGGGAGGGGCGTCCTCTGAGCCCCAGAGCAGGGAAGAGCAGGAAGGGGCTGGAGGGCTGCCCCCACCTGCTTCCGGAGCTCCATTAGGTCAGTCTTGAGACCAGGGTAGAAGAGAACCCCTGGGCCAACCACGGGGCTCAGACTCACACCCTGGAAGGTGGAGGTCCCCTGAGGCAGGAGCCCCTGCAGCTCTCTGGGACCACCTGGTGTAGGGCAGCTGCCTCCATGGGTGCTCCGGAAGTCCTTTTCGTTGGCCCTGCGTCCTGGCTGCAGGGTTGCCTTCTCTGACCTCGGGGAACCCGTCAGCCCTCCCTGCTGGCGCCCCATTGACCCCCAGCCCCGGCACTCTCTCTGCCTGCTTTAGCCCTGACTTGCTGACCAGGCCTTCCTCCCACCATGGGTGCTTCTTGGTTGTGAACCATCCTTCTTTCCCCTGGAGCCTGTCTGCGGGTGTCCGGGGTCTGCAAGTGCCTGCTTTGGAAGGACTTGTGCTAGTCAGAGTCCACGAGGTGCATTGCTGTGGGCGTGGCGGGATGAGGGCCGCCTGGCCTTGCCCCGCAGCTCTCAGACCACCAACCATTAAACTTGGAACCGTGTTTTTCAGCACCCTGCCTCCTGCGTTTGCTCGATGCACCAAATCCTCCTCCTATTCTCCCCACCCCAGGTCCACCTCCGGCCTGTTGCAGGACTGGGGTCCTCGGCTTTGCACCCGGGGCCTGCCACGCTCCAGATGGTTCTTTGCAGGGAGATGTGGTCCCCACAGGTGGGCCCCAGAGCAGTTCCCAGAGTGTGGGCAGCTCTGGGGACTTGTGTGAGGTGGCCAGAGGCATGGGCTGCTCTTCCTGACTGGGGCAGTGTCCAGAAAAAGCAGAAGACAGGGAGGTGTCCCCTGACCATGGCTACAACCTGGACAACCGTACATCTGTCCTGGGGCTGCGGAAACACAAGAGCACAAACTGGGTGGCTGGAGAGAACGGGAATGTGATCCCTCGGTTCCTGAGGCCGGCTGGAAGTCCAAGGTCAAGGGGCTGCAGGTCTGCCTCCTTCAAGGGCTCCAGGGAAGGCTCCCTCCTGCCTCTTCGGCTTCTGGGGGCCCCAGGCATCCCTTGGCTGGCAGCATCGGCCCCCTTCCTGAGTCTCCGCTCTCCTCCCCTCCACCCTGTGAGACACATCACTGTTGGATTCAGGGCCCACCCTAAATCCCGGATGATCTTCCCTTGACATCTTTAAGTTAATTATTTCTACAAAACCTGTTTCCCACGAGGGCACCTTGGAGGTGCCAGAGATTGGGACTTGCGTGTACCTCTATTGGGGACGCAGTGCGACGCTCTGCAGCAGGCTGAGGGCTCGACACGCGCCTCAACAGCCCCCAGTAGCCCTGTGGTACCCGAGCAGTGGAGGACAGAGGCCTCTCCTTCTTCTTTTCATCGCTGGCCAAATGGGTGAGCGGCCAGGCCCTTCCCCAACTGCCAGTGGCCAGTGCCGAGGCTGGAGCCAGCCGCCTGGCAACTGTGCTCGGTCCTGCGTGAGGCCACGTGGTCATGCCCAGCCTTGGGCTGTGGCCAAGGGAGCAGGCAGACACTGCAATCCTGCTCTCCGTGGGACAAAGGGCAGGCCCCACCTCTACAGAGCTGGGGCCACTTGGCAGAGACGTCCTTTCCGTGAAGCTGGGAGTGGGGGCTGAGTGCCTGGAAGGGATAGTCAGCTCTGTCCAGGGGCCACTGACCACCTTCACCCTTGCCAGGGACAGTCACAGGCCCATGCACACGTGTTCCATGCTGGCCTGGTTTCCATGGGGAAGGAGGTGGCATCTGCCCGAGCCCACCTTCGGCCTCTTCCGGCCCCTCCTCCTTCACCCCACCCCAGTCCTTTACCTTCCTGGTGCTTCCATCGGTCCTCCCGCTCTCCGAACATTTATTTACTTTGTTCCTGCTTTGGGGCACCCTGTGTGCTAGGCATTGGGGACATAAGGACAAATAAGGTATGGTCCTTGCCTTCCGGAAGACCTGCCCAGGGTTGTGACTATAGTGGGACACAGAGGCCAACCTTCTCAGAATTGCACACTCAGTTCCAATACCCTCCCTAGGCCATTTACTTTGACAGGGTCCTGTCCCCATTTCCTGCCACCAGCCAGTGAGAGACTGGCTACCCATTTCTCAGAGGACCTGATAACCCAGGTGCAATACAAGTATTAGTGTTTTAGTGAAAGGACTTAGACTGAGGAGTGGGCAGAAGAAAGAGCTGCTGACAGGAGGACCTCCCTGAGTCTTGGCAGCCAGGGCTGGGCGGTGGGTTCACCTCGACAATACGCTGAATGATGGGAGGCTGGATAAAGTGCGCCATTTTCCCCCCAGATCATGGTGGAGGGAGATAACCCAGGACGTCACAGAAAATCATACATAAAGCCGGAAGTCTCTACGTGCAAAGAACGGAGCTGGGCCTCTGCCTCACCCCACGTACAGAAGTCACGTCAAAATGAACCAAGGCCTAAACAGGAGAGCTAAATCCTGAGCGCTAATGTCCTTAGGCGTGAATCTAGGTTCCAATCACTCTTCATGACCTCGGGTTAGGGAGTCGTCTCTCAGACACGACTCCAAACGCATGGAGAAAAGAAGAAAAAAGATGAACCGCATGTCATCCAAATTGAGAACCGGCTGTTTCTAAGGGTTCCGTCAAGAAAGCGAGGACAGGCCGCGGACGGTGGCGAGTGCTTTCAAGTCACATGTGATCAGAGACTTACACGTAGACACACAAGGAACTCTTGCCACTCAGTAATGGAGAGACACGATCCAGTTAGAAATGGGCAAAGATCTCAGCGAACATTTCTCCAGGGAAGTTTGCAGGAAGCCAACAGAGCATGAGCAGCCCTCGGGGACACCCAGGAGCCACAGTGTGAGCCGCGAGTCCACCACCAGGAGGTGGCTGCCACCAAGAAGCAGATGTTAACAAGAGCCCACGAGGCGGGGGAGATTGGAACCCTGGTCCACTGCTGCCACAAGGGAAGAGAGTCGGGAAGGGCCTCAAAGTTCAACGTGGGTTCCAGCTGACCCAGCAATTCCGTTTCTAGCTACATACCCCCCAAAAGTAAAACACATGTCCGCGTAAAAACCTGTGGATGGATGTTCCAAGTAGAGTTGTTTATAGTAAGAGAAAAGTGGATCTGACCCAGTGTTCACCAGCCCAGGAATGGATAAACCAGATGCGCTACAGCTACGAAAGAATATTACTCAGCAATAAAGAGGAGAGACGTGCCTATCCTGCTGGAACACGGATGCACTTCAGAAACATTATCTGGAGGGAAAGAAGCCAGACGCAGAAGGCCACCTCCTGTGTGATCCCACTTACCCAGCACACCCAGCAGAGGCAAATCTGTAGACACAGGAGGCGGATTAGGAGTCCCCTGGAGCTGGGGGTGGGGAGAAGGGGAGGAGTGGGGAGTGAGCTAGTGATTTGTGGTTTCTTTTTGGAATGATGAAGTGTGCTGAAATTGATCATAATAGTGGTTGCACAACTCTGTGATTATACTAAAAACCCTCGGATGGTTGTACAGTATGTGAAAATGGTTATAAACACGAAACAAAACAACAAAACCCCACATAAAAACAGGAACAAAACATCAGGTCACCCCACCCTTCTCGACCTAGTCTGGGAAGCCCTGGAGTTCCCGGGTTAGATCCTGCAGCGTCAGTCCCATGACTCAGGCCTTGGCTCGGGACGGGCTGGAGGGCAGGGACCCGTGAGGTAGAGAGGGAGAGTCAGGGCCAGTTCTTCCAAGAACATCGTTGAACAATCATTTTGAGGCAACTGATGGGTGAGATCACTCAAGTGCAAGAGGCTGACCGCGGTGCCAGGGGGAACATTCCAGAAGGAGCAAGTAACAAGGACCACGCCTTTCTCTCCAAAATCCTTACACAGCTGGGAGAGACACGGTGACCTCGAGTGCCCCTGCCCCCCCAGGCGTCAGAATCCAGCCCTCCCGGGGCAGGTGGAGCCCAGCATACGCACAAGAGTTTCCACTTTAGAGACTGCTACAAACAGCGTTAGAAGTCCACTTGCTCTGGGTGGTTGGGAAGGCTTCCTGCCTCGACAGTGTCCCTCCAACTGTTCAGTCGAGATGCCACTAGGTCAGCTGGGCACACGGCTCGAGGGAAGAGCTCACAGGAGAGGAGCCACCACCCACTCACATGGCCACGCTCCTGACGTCCAGAGAGATCACAAGCCCGAGAATTGTGGCAGAGGATAAAGAACCGAGTGGAGAACGCTAGGAGTGAAAAATTAACAAATAGAACTGAGAACTCGATGGGTCTTCAGAGTTGCAGAGAAAAATCAGTGAATTAGAAGAGGATCCAAAGAAAATACCGGGAAAGATGTGTGGAGGAAGGAAAGGCTGGAGAACACAGAACAGGGGACACATCTGAGCCCAAGTAATGCAGGGAAACCAGGCTGGTGTGGGGGGGCCGACACCCAGGCCAGAGGCACCGGAGATGGAGGAAGAGGCCGGTAGACTCAGGACTGCGCCCAGGACTGTGCTGAGTGCAGGGGAACTCAGGGAGGAGAGCACCTCGGGAGCAGCAGCAAGACAGGTCGACCCTGCACCCCAAAGCTGGAGGAAAGCGTTTATTGGGTAAGCTAGACCAAGGGGGACTGCGGTCAGCCAGAAGGCACCTGGCCTTTCTCAAAAACCAGCCAGCCCAATGTCAGCCAGAGACAGTGGGGGCACCTGTGGCTGGCACATCACACTTGGCTGACCATCTTAACCATTTAGTTCCCTGGTGGGGTTTGGGACGTGTGCCACAGTCACCTGGCCAGCAAGATGGCGGCCATAACTAAGGTGACGAGGGTCAGGTCAAGGTGGATGCCCACAAAAGTCAATCACAAAATCCAAAACTTGTGTGAGTGGGGAAAACCGAGAGAAAAGGCAACAGAAACAACATTTGAAGATAAAACAGCCGACAAGTTCCTCACATGGAACAAATCCACCAAGGGACAGGTTCCAGAAGCCCAGAGAACCCCAAGCAGGATGAATAAAGCAAGTTCACCCCCAGCGTGGCCTGGGTGTGACCCAGGTGTGACCGTCAAGATCACAGACAAAAACAGGCTCTCGTTCTTAAGAACAAATCGGGGGGACTCTTTCTTTTCAAGGGATCTCTGACAAGTGTGACCATGGACCCTCGACAGGAGGGACAAGAGCCAAGGGAGGGAGGAAAGGCAAATTGAAAGGCTGAAGAATAACAGCCACCGTCTACAGTTCTGTTCCCAACTGAAACCTAAAAATAAAGACATTTGCAAACCAGCAAAAAGTGGAGGGATTTCTCACCAAGAGAAATTGGTCCCAGAGGGAAGGTCAGAGACGCAGGAACGAATGAGAAGCCACCAAAGAGGTTGACTCAGAAAGCAGTTTGGAAGTTCCCCGGTTAAATATCGAGTTACCACGACTCAGGAACCCTGCTCCCGGGGACATACCCAAGAGAAACACAAACATGCCCCCCACAAGAACTCGTACAAAGCGTCCCCAGCCGCGGCATCCGTAAGAGTGAAGAGCTGGAAACGCCTCACGTGTCCCTCAGTGGACACTGTGGATCAGGTAGAAATGCCTGGACCAGGTC